TCCTTTCCTAAGCATTACAATTAGTCTGGGCAAGAGATGTTATGATTGTCATTCTTTAAGCCAGCTTATATTTTGGATTTGTGTGAAATGTCTTTTGAAATTAGATAGTATAGTATTAATTATCTATTGTGTATAGTCTTCTGCATAGAGTTGCAAAATAATGCAACTTTTCTGTAAACAATTCTTTATCCATACATATTTTATAAATATACATATATATACACATACATTTTTAAAGAGATTTCTTTTTTCTTTTTAAAGAGATTTCTTGCCTTGCTCCCACTCCAAAAGCTATGTACAGTTCAGTCATTAGCCTCAGAAGAAGAATACAGGAAAGCAAAGATGAAGCCCTCCTTTTCTTGTGTTGGTCTTGGGAACAAACAGTATTCCATCTTTCAAAAACGGTGTATTTGTAAACAGTTTGGGAAAGATGTTAGGATTTTTTTAAAGTCAGCTCTTTTATAAATTGGAAATACTCAGTAGTCAGAAATAAGATCCCTTCTGATAGAGATAGATCCGCAAAACCCAAGTTGGACTGAAAATTAGATTGAGAAAGATACAACTTCATCCGTAGCCAATAAAATCTGTCTTTCCAAGTCTGCTTATTAATGCTGTGTGAGTCTCTGCTTCTCCTTTTGAAAACATCTCCTGGACTGGAAATGTGGTGTGGTAGCAACCAGCTTAGCTGAAAATTGGAGAATGTTAAGTAGCTTTTATGGGACTTATGATAAAATGTATTGATGTTAGTGATTATCAAAATAGGTTTATCGTTATAAACTAGGAAATTACTAACTTATACTTAACATAGAAGAAAAACCAGTATTAAGTGATAAGACTTCTTCATTTTATTTGCTCTGCCTTATTTCCATTACCAAACATAGAAAAGGCCAGAAAAGATTTAAAAACAACAACAACAACACACACACGCACAACCATTCCTTTTTTTTTAAATCACATGGAGAAAGGACCAGGCTGGAAGCATATGTTCCCACCCTTACTTATATTCCTTTGAGCATTGCCCTTTCCTAGACAGACAATCTGAAAATAATTGTGTTGATAGGTCTCTTTAAGCCTGAACTCTGGGTGTAAGAGGTTATCCAGAAGCTTTAGGGAGCTGCCTTGCTTAGGTCATTGGAAGTTTCATCCCTAAGACTCATCTGAATTCCTAAGTCCTTTATGTACCATTATGGGCATATGGAGCATATTCATATTATGAGGAGGAGTCTTTATGATGAACTTTTTAATATGGCCATAATTAAACTCACATTCAAAAAGGATGAGCTACTTGTCAGAAGCCAAAAGAAAAACAGACACAATGAACACGAAGCAAGGAGTCCATAAAACAAGAGTTCTTTACCATGTTTAAGTAAATGTCTCTCAAAAAATTGTATTTCTCTACACATTAGCTGAGATTCACACATGTTGCACCTCAGTATTTCAGATGAGACTCAATGTGTGGAGGAGAAAACTGCAAACTTGTTGCATTCTGGTCTTTCACACCGTCTTCTGTGGCAATGTGAGGTCAGGATTGTTTCCTAAAGTACCTACATCGTCTTAAATGGAAATCATGGGACTCTAGAAAGCTGGCATGAGCTGGTTGGAGCTTTTAAACAGAAGTGCTTTATGGGTATCAGATCTCTTCTGACATCAATTGTTTCAAATCATTGTTGGGCTCTGTCATGTTCTGCAATCTTCCCCATACCCCTCATGATCCTCTGTGGTTTATCTTTTATCCAATCTTTATGGATTTCTTAGTATTTTTTTAGTATAAATAATTTTCAGATCCCAGCTTTGGTAAATGTGTTAACTCCACTTTGTGAATAAATAAATGAGTGATCTGCTGAACGATTGCAATTGTAGAATTATGTTGTATGTAATGTACATATGGAGAAAGAATGTATTTTCATTTTCTTAATAAAAAGTTATATATGGATGCTACAAGATGTCTCTTATATTTGCTCAAACTGCTTTTGAAGTGAAACTTTAAAATGTTTACATACTTGGCAGTTGTGTTTTTTTCCCTCAGAAAGATGAGTTTTATTTAGGCTTCCGAAAATGGAAAGTGATACACTTTAGAAGGGCCGTCGGGTGTTTTCCTTTGAGACAATGTTCACATAAAGAAGTACTGGCCATGCTCACCAAGTTTCTACGGGGAGGCTTCCACTTTTAAAGACCACTGGTAAATTATTTCGTGAAATGATGTTTTTCTACCTATTTTTAATGACCAGCCTTATTTTATTTGCTTTGTCCATTTGGGCTTGTGTTCCTCTTTAAAGGGGATGTGCTTGTACAGGCTAGAAACTAGAAGACTGGACTAAAATGGAAAATTCATTAAGAGATAGCAAAGCCAGAGAACTTAGAAGTGTTGTGAAGTTAGAGAAATTCTGGATCCCTGTCCCCAGTGAAGGGAAAAAGACACTTTATGGGCCAAACCTTGAAAAAAATAAGCTGAGAAATATGCCAGATAAAGATACTGGATCGCTGGGGCCGATGGTGGGACTCTCGGTAACGAAATCCTCTCCGCCCTTTCCACCTCCTGGTCTGCTTTATGTCTTCTTGGCTTTGTGGTCCTGCATTCTGGAGTGAATCGTCAGCTGATTTGATTCAAAATTGGGATCATGTTTTCTCAGCTTATAAATGGAATAATCCAAACCTTACTGCAGAGCTTTCATTTCTAGGGTATCCTTTTCGTGTGGCTCTTAAGTAACGTTTCTTTGTGTTCTCAAAACAGGAAAGCATGAGGTGCAGTGGTAAGGTAAGGAATTGGCCTTTCCTTGGTCAGTCCTCCAGAGAATTAACTGAAAGGGATCAAAATCCAGGATACCACCCTCGATGTATTTGTCAGTACCTTCTGGTGGGACGACAGCAGTAAGTAAAGAAGCCTTGGCCCTGAACACAGATGAGAGCCGGGCTGTGTCCAGGCCAAGTGTGTGTGGAGACGGTACTACAGACTGGAAGATGCTGCGTTAGGGGCTTTTCTACTGTGTAAGGAAGATAACTGAGCATCTAATGGGGAAATAGCTGTGTGTGCCCATGTTCCCATAACTTCTCATATAAGTGACTGCAGAGTTCATAGAAATTGGGAGGAAATATAAATCAAGGCAACAGTCATTGAGATTCAGAATCATTGAGATTCTGAAGGTAGTAATATGATTGGAAAGACCATCTGAGGTTTGTGCAGTCCTGGCTAAGTTTAAATCCTAGTTGATGACGATTCTTCTTTACTTTAGCACCATGTTGTCCGTTGCCTTTTACATGTCTTGGAAAGAGAAAAGGAAGAGGGGACTGCAGACTTGGGGCTTTCTGGGGCATAGGGCAGTTGGGACAGCAGAGGACAGCTTCATTACTGATTTATAGGGGCCTTTTTTCCTGTGGGCTTTCACCCAGGAAAAGCAGCAGCAGTCAGCTATATTCTTGCCAGAGACATTCTTATTACAGGGAAGGAGATAGAAACTATGTAGAAGTAGCCTGCCTAGCACTGTGTTCCTAAGTTTTGATGGTTGGCAAACCCCAAGAGGATGTTAGGACCCTTGGCGATGTATGTAGTACACATTGTACAGCTGCTCTCTAAACTTGGGCCATAGAATGGAGAGCCCCAGAGGAATCAGGAGTCCTGGCTTTTATTTCCTGATTACGAGTGACTTCTGCATAGCATTGTGCACAGTCATAACTTCTCTGTCTCATTTCTTATATTAAATAAATATTGGCAGCAGATCTTGTTTCCTAGGGCCCTATTATTTTTTAGAGACAGGGTCTCACTGTCGTGCAGGCTGGAATGCAGTGGTGCAATCATAGCTTCCTGCAGCCTCCAACTCCTGGGCTCAAGTGATCCTGCCTCAGCATCCTGAGTACCTAGGACTGCAGGTATGTACCAGCACAACTGGCTAATTTTTTTTAAAAAAAGAAGAAAATTGTAAAGATGGGATCTGGCTATGTTACCCAGGCCGGTCTCAAATTCCTGAGCTCCAGCTGTCCTCGCACTTCGACCTCCTAAAGTGCTGGAATTAAAGGCATGAGCCCCCATACCCTGCCAAGGTCTTTGAAAGCACTAGCTATCTCAGTGTTCATCATTAGTGTTAATTATGTAGCCAGTCCTATTCTTTACTTTTTTACCTTGTGATACACAAGAAATCTGTGATTTGGGAGGGAGCTTATAAGGGAGGTTGAGAGTGACAATCAGCGTAACACATTGAAATTGACAACTGGGTGTGTGTCTTGGTTGGCAGGCAAGGAGCAGGGTCAGTGACGTAGGTCTAATTTGTGGCCTATGATAAGCTATTTGTAAATAGTAAGATGCTAGGCAGACAGACAAGATTGTTGTCTAGAAACTAAGATTATGGACCCGTTCTACCTGACAGTTTCCCTTCTGCAAGTTGGGAATGATGACATTTTCCTCTTGCAGCGAGGAAGCATACAGCTGTCGATAGTACCACATAGGAGATGAAGAAAGAATCATCTCCAGTGATTCTGTCCCTAAACCTCTATCTTCATTGCAGACTTGGGGCAGGGATAGGCAGAAGCCTCTTGTGGCAGTAAACAGATCCTTTTATGGGCAGAAACAGGGCCAGAACAGAGCTGCTTTGTTTTCATATTTTTGTTTTGTCTCTTTGCCAGTGTTTTCATACCTGATCAGTGTTCAGCAGCCCCCTTGGGGATTTCTGGTAGTGGTGATCCACAGTGTATCTGAGGCAGAAGTAGAGGGAAGGAAGACAGTAAAACATTTATAAAACAACATCTTAGGAGAAAGTGAGGTCCTTTACAGTCACTAGGACAGCTTGGATAACGTAAAAAGACTTACCACCACCTTTAGGACCCCCCCACCTTTTTTTTCTTTCAGCTTCCCTCCTCTCTCCTAATTTCTGTGCCTGCAGCTTTGGACAAGTGGAAGTCAGCAGAGCCTCCTGTGCCCATGGGTGTGACCTGACATCCTCAGGTGCTTTGGCGATGAGCCTCTTACTCAAGTGAAGATGTTAACGCAGAGCAAAATACCAGAGCTCGAACCAGTTTACACAAAAACACTTTAATTGACAGTATACGATTTTCCAAAATATATTTTTGTAAGAAAATGCAATAATTAACTATAGTTTTTACAAGTTTCTCAGTAAATTCCAGTGTACTTCAGACCCCTGTCCACTAAGACGCATGTGATCCCCCAGTTCCTGGGCAAACTGTTTAACATTCATTGCGAACAAAAAGACCCACACAGATAGTCATCTGCTCCCCGCCTCCATGCTGTGTTTGCAGCAGACCTGAGGGATCAGCTAGTGACAATGACAAAAGCTATGCTACTGTTTTACTCTTGCCCTCTCTGCCTCCCCCGTCTTGTTTCCTTGGTCCCTCCATCCTGTTGGAATAAGTTACATGCATAAAAGCTCATCTAAAACTTATTTCTTGGCAGAAAGAATTGTTCCCTTACATCTTAAACCTAAAAGATTCAGAGAAAATATAGAAGACCAGGTTCCTGTTTTTGTGTTCGTGCCCTCCCTAGCCTTGCTAGGGTAAGAATCGGGAAAGAAATTCTGTCCTTTGTGTCATTTTGGTGCTTTCGAGTAGCAATTCTTAATTTACTGATTATTCCTTCTGAGGCACACAGCACTGGTCTGTAGATCCAGGTTTTAATCTTGTTTGTTTCTGTCCCAAACCATGGACTTCGAGCAAGTCACTTTATCTTTGTGGGCTTCACATTCTCTTATCTGTAGAAAAAGACTGGACTAGCACTTGAAATCCCTCTCTCATGACTAGAAAGTTGCCTGCCAACCAGAGCATATTGACGCCAACCTTTACTATAATGGGGCTGGGGAGGGAGCAAGGTCACATTTTAAAATTAAAAAAAAAAAAAAAACACCTGATCTACAAGACAAGTACTTTGTCATAAGCTCATCTTAATATTTCATTTTTTGTTAAAAAATAAAAAACTTGTCATTTCTAGTAAGACATTTACATTCCTGTTCAGAGAAAAAATTTGGCCATCACGCAGCTAACATGTTTTTTCAAAGTAGGTTCACTTAAAGCAATGCAGGGTGGATTAACATGTGGCCATGGTATTTACATTATCCAAAAAACAGGTCTATATGTATCAGTTTGAACTTGTTCTTCAGAGTTTCTCCAGTATATTTTGTCAAAAAAGATAGATAAAGATCAAGAAGTAGTTTAAATAAACTTTGTTAGCTTTCCTTATCAAGAGGGACAAAAACCTGGTGTCTAGACTAGATTAAACCCGTATTTTCTTAGGATGCAAAGAATTTTCTGCATCTCCTTCATCAGCATTGCTGCTTCTCTCCCCACTCACGTGACAGTAGGCTTTCAGTCATATTCATGGTTTCTGGTCTTCTCTGCAGCTTGGGGAAACCATAGTTTGCCACTAAACTCTCTTTGGTACAACCTGCTTAAAAGTCATGCTGAGCTTCTAGTGTTCCTCTTACCTCTTCCAGGACCCAGAATCTGAATTATCAGAGAGCATTTAGAACCCAGTAAAGGTGGTGGAAGATGGTGACCTTTAGATGCATGGCTGTTTGGCCTGTTGACTTAGGTGTCCTGGTGGCAAGAGCAAGGCAAGGTGTCAGCTTCTGAAGCTGCCCTAAGACTAGACTAACACAGTTTGGACAAATAATATAAAGAAGAAACCTCTGAATCAGCCTAAAGCTTCTGCGGGTTCTCCCTGGACAGAGTGATGGAGAGTCAGGAGCTGTGACTGACCTGACCAGGCACAACTGCTCTCTAGTCCTTGCCAGTCATCAGCTGTCTCTAAGAGGCCTTAGGGTTGCAGCCTTCGATCAATTTGCAGAGGCCTATTTGCTGTCTCTGTCGAAAGCCCTGGCTGGTGAACTGTGACCCCGTGTCAGCAAAGGAGGAATAGTCTAGTCTGGCCTCTCCCATGGGGACCATGACAGAAACCTACTGGGTAGAAAGAACCTATTGCTTGGCAAGAAGGAAGCAAACACCTCATCAAGCCTTACAAGATTTCCTGTTTTCCCCCAAACGGGCGCTGTTCTCCATCCTGCCTACCGCCAAACACTAGAGAATCAGGGCAGATGTTTTGGGACCTTGTTAGCCTCGCATCCCCCTAATTCCTGGGAAACTCGCTGGGGCCCTACGTGAACCCTTGGCCTTCCTTTCCCTAGGATATCAGATGGCTACAGGCTATAAGGAAGGAATTAGGCTTCCCCAGCCCCTCCCCCTACCCTTTCAAAAAATAAGCCATCCCCAAGCAGATAACCTATTTCACAGAACTACTGCAGCCTGGGCCTGACTCTTAAGACCCTGAAAAAATGGCAGTTTTCATTCCCCTAAGTAGTTCTGCCCATTTTCCTACTTGGTCCCAGGGAATTTACGCCCAGCACAATGGAGACCATGGTGAAAGTTCAAAATTCCATACAGGATTCCCCCTTCCCAATCAGATGAAACCTCGCCATGCCCACTGCTTAGGAGCCTTCTGCATGGCAACTAACTGTTGAGCCTGTAAAAATCCTATATTAGGGAAAAGACATGGCTTTGTGCTTCCCCACGATGTCACCAGAAACTGCAAGAGAACTGCAGCAGCCCCACTAGGACCACAGAGAAGAGGAAACAGCAAGGCATAGCTCCAAGCCAGGACACTGAGAGTTCCCAGAACAGTCTGTCCCCCAGGCTGCTCTTCATGCACCTAACGTCCAGGCCCCTCAATCCCTGTGGTACAGGAGAACCAGAATGAGCGAGATGAGCTAACTGGACGTCCCCAACTATCTAAGCTTTGGCCTTTGGCAGTGGAGGGCTGGGTTAGAAAACAAACTCAGCAACTTGAAATGTCCCTGAGTTTCCTATGAAATAAAGAGGAAAGCCTGTCCTTCCTGGTTGCTTTAATGGATTGTCTCTGAAGACATCGCTGATGGGGCGGGGGCCCCTAGGAAGGCCTCTCCCACAGCCACTGCTCTTTTACACTGGGTCTCAGGGAATCACTCCCATCAGCTGAGCAGTGAACAACAAAAGGAACACTGCTTTCAGTAGCTATGGCAGATTTTAGTCCCTGGTGAAAATGGAAGGTCAAAGAAGATTGTGGGGAGCCTCTGCAAGGAGGGCCGGGGCGATGGGCCAGTGTTCCTGCTGACCCCCTAATCAGCTGCCCTGAGACACCAGCCTGAAAAGCCTCTCCTTCTAGAGGAGGACCTGCACATGGGTCCCCAAAGCAGACCTGGTTCATGCAGGGAGTCCTGTGTGGGTTAAGCCCCAATCTCACGAAGCACATGTGAGAAAATTAGAATCCAGAACAAGGGGTTCAAGGTTATGAATAACCTGTGCTAATCCCAGAGGCCCCAGGACAGAGTAAGTGGGAACAAACACCGAGCACAGGGAGGGGGAAGAACACGAGGTGGGAAAATGGGTACATGAGGCTGGAGTAGGAGAAGGAAAACTTAGGAGCTGGACTTTCAAGTCATCAGATCCCACCGAGCCGAGATGGAGCCCTGCCCTCCTTTCCAGACCAGCCACCTGCTAGAGTCTCACCCCTGCCGGGGACAGCTCTGGCAGGAGGACACGTGAACACAGCAGCGTGGCATGGTGCAAATGGTTTTCGTCCTGACACTGTCACCAAGTGGCTCTGACCTTGGACAAATCACTTACCCTCTTCAGGTCTCAGTAATCCCGCTGCGGAATGAAGGGATTCCACTAGTTGATCTCTTAAAGTCCCTTATACGTGGCTTTTTCTTGATTTCCCTCATCATCCAGCAGCACTGAGCTCAGGCACTATTGGGTATTTTACAAGAGGAATCTGGACAGAATGTGATTTGTTCAGCTCAAAAAAGGAAAATTTAAGGCTCTGGAGCGATTGGGAGGGGCACCCCGCAGAGTTCACTCCCCCTCCCCAGTCTTTCCCTTCCCCATCCAAACGGCACTTGGGGTGGTCGGTCTGGAGCTCTGTGGTGCTGCTGGAGGCCACTGTTAGACTGGACTAGAGATGGGTGTCTTCCTCCTCATCCAGGTCGTCCTTGGTCAGGTTGTCCAGAGGGACGATCCAGCTGTCCCCCAGCTCCCCATTGAGGCTGACCACCTTTTTCTCCTGCATCTCAGAAGTGGTCTCCATCACTTCCAGTGTGGGGTTGTCATGGTAACCATTCTCCACTGTCTGCAGCTCCTCTGTTAGTCGTTGCTAGAGTGGGGAAGGTGAGCCGGTGAGAAGGGGATTTCAGAGAGCTCGGAGCTTAATACAGCACAGGTACCCCTCCCACCCCGGAGCCCCACTGTGGCTAAAGCAGGCTCACTGCTCCCCTGTGGGGCTGGCTGCTCCTGGTGGCCATTCTGGCTCTCAGCCTGCCTGGAACTAGTTTAGAACAAAGACTTGCCCCTCACCCTTGCCTTGGTGGCAGACCTGTGAAGTGAGTGGAGATGGACTTTGTTCTCCAGAGTCCACTAAGCTCTTTCCCCCCTTTCATTCCTTCCCCCAAAACCACCTCTCCAGGCACCTACCTCACCTATTGTAATGAATGGGGAAAGACTATTTTAAAATGACCTCTCTCAGGCTGGTTGGCTGAGCCCTCTCTAAACCTAGGCAGGATGGGCACGGTGTCCCTAAAAGCATCCCTGCGGCAGATAGCAGCCGTCTAGCAGAGGCACTTTCTGTCCCTCTCAGACACAACCTTGAATGCACGCTAGAATCATCTGGGGAGCTTTTAACAATTACAGTGATGGACTTGGAGACTCTGTATGAATTGCTATAGAAGGCAGTCAGGCATGGGCATTTTAAAGTTCCCCACGTTGGGCAGGATGAGTGAGAACACAGGTCTGCGTGGCACCATTATGATGGGAATTCTAGTGAGGTAGGCGTTAGAATTTGGGGTTAGACAGGAACGCCTAGGCCTGCTCCTATCAGTGAATCCTCAGAGCAGCTCCGCAAGGTTATTCCTGCCATGCAGATGAGGAACCTGCTGCTCAAAGAGCTCATCTGACTGACTCAGGGTCAGAGCCAGGACTTAAACCAAGTCTTCCTGACTCTATTCTGCATGTGGTGGCTCACACCTGTAATCTCAGCATTTTGGGAGGCTGAGGCAGGTGGACTGCTTGAGGTCAGAAGTTTGAGAACAGCCTGGCCAACATGGTGAAACCCCAGCTCTACTAAAAATACAGGTGGTGCCTGCCTGTAATCCCAGCTACTGGGGAGGCTGAGGCTGAAGAATTGCTTGAACCCAAGAGGCAGAGGTTGCAGTGAGCAGTGATCGTGCCACTGCACTGCAGCCTGGATGAGGAGCAAGACCCTGCCTGAAAAAAATAATAAATAAGTCTTCCTGACTCCAAAGCCCACGCTGTGTCCTCTGCCACACTGCCTCTGTAATGTTCTGCGGACTGAGGTGGCTGCCTCTCACGAGTGGCCTCTGCCCATTACAAAGGGTCCAGGGCCCACTCTCTTCCCTATTCTGCAACTCGGGAATCATGAGGGGAGAGTTCCTCTGGTGACCTGGGCTGCTTCCCCCGCATGGCTGTAGACAGCTGCTTACCTGGTCCTTCCTCTGGGAGAGGCGCTGGTGGCAGCAGCCATAGAGGGCTGCCACGAGGAGCAGGAAGGATGCCATGCAGACGATGGTGATAATGAGGGGCATGCTGAAGCGGTCCTCGGCCTCTTCCGGTGGCCCCTGATCCCCCAGCTGCATATGACTGACCCCTGCCTGCAGGAGAGGTGGCAGAAAACAGGTTCAGGCACCCCCTCTTTTTCTGCCCCATCCCCCACCCCACATCACTGGAGAGCCCCCAAGCTTAAGGTCTGCTGGGGCCCATGCAGCTGCCCTTTCCTCCATGCAAGCATGTGAGGGGTTCCTCCCCATGGAGAGAGGAACAGGGGCTCAGCAACCAGACCTCCCATAAGGGATTTCTAAGCCACACTGTTCCCACACCTGGAGCCGCTTACCTCCTTTAGTTCATCCCATTTGTCCTTCAGCCGCTCGTACACATCCTTGGGAGGGAGCTTTGCTGTGGGAGAGGAGGGAGACACTGCCCAATGGCCCAGCCCAGAGCAAGGCAGTGGGGGACAGGGACCGTGCCCCAAGACAGGGACGCACTGTATCTGGGTTTCCAGAGTAAGTCTCTCGGGCAACCTGGGAGGGGGTGTGGCTTGACCGTTCTTAGCAAACTGAAGGGGCACCACTGTGACCCACCCCCTGATGTGACTCCTGCACCCCCCCATTCCCACCCACACAGGCCTCAGCCCAGACCCCCCCTTGCCCTCCACTCACTGTGAATAGTGATTTCTTTGATGGCCACTGCCTGACTTCCTAGAACAGGTGCCACCCGTATGCTGCACTCATCTTGGGCCGGGTTGAAGGTGGCTTTGACTGCTCGGCATATCAGTGTGACCAGTTTCTCATCTGGAGGGCCCCCTGCCTACGGTGGGGAGAGCATAGGTGACTCCTCGGGCGGCGTAACAGCAGCCTAGGCCTGTGGGCTGCCCTCCAGCTGAGGTCGGGAGGACACCGTTGCTCTGCTGGAACCTGCCTCTCTTCAGCCCCAGCTGGTGCTCCATGCAGGCCTGCCAGGAGCCGAGGGTTGTGTGCCGTTCTCCTGGGCCAGTTCCTGCCTCCTCTGCCTCTTTCCCATCAGCCCGTTCCCCATACTGTGTTTATCTGGTCTGTGCTTGCACCTTTCATCCTAGTGCCCTTTTTTCCCTCCAAGCTATTTGAGGTTTAGGGCTCTTTTTTTTTTTTTTCCTGAGATGGAGTTTCACTCTTGTTGCCCAGGGTGGAGTGCAATGGCATGATCTCAGCTCACCACAACCTCTGCCTCCCGGGTTCAAGCGATTCTCCTGCCTCAGCCTCCCGAGTAGCTGGGATTACAGGCATGTGCCACCACACCCGGCTAATTTTGAATTTTTAGTAGAAATGGGGTTTCTCCATGTTGGTCAGGCTGATATCGAACTCCCTACCTTAGGTGATCCACCCACCTTAGCCTCTCAAAGTGCTGGGATTACAGGCATGAGACACCGTGCCCAGCCAACTGGGGATCTTTTTCATTTCCCTCCCTAGAAAGGGCTGGGGGCAGGGGGGCACTGCACAGCGACCCCACCCCACAACCTGGGGGAGACTCCAAGTCCCCCTGAACTCCCATTCGCCAGCCTTTCATGCCCAGTTCAGAGAATCAGGAGGGGAGGCCGCAGCTCTTAGAAGGGTTTCTACCCCAAAGCTGAAATACATGTGCCCTTGCCCTAAACAGAGCCACTGGCTCCGAAGCCAAGGACAGGCTGACGGGAAGGGGCTTTCACTGAGTAGGAGAACAGGTGGGATCTTGAAGCTACTCCTGGGATATCTTGAAGGGGGTCTTGGCCCTAAGAGGAAAGATTGTGGCTGACGTGGCTTTAGGGCTGAGGATGAGGAGGGAGGCATGGGCAGCTTTTGCCCAGTCCTGCCATGCCATCTAGGGAGACCCTCCCTGGGGCTTCTCTGGCCTGATTCTGGAATAAAGGACTGAGACAAAAGAAAAGGATTCTAGGGATGGCTTGGCACAGAACCCACACAAACCACCCCTGAGGTTTCTAATGGAATTTCCTGAGGCTTACTAATTCTCCACCCTGACATCAGGAAGAGATCCAGGGTTTTCCATCTTTTCTAGCAAAGAAAAAAAAAAATGCTTCTCACAAACAATCACACAGCCTAGCAAGTTACATGCAAAAAGAGGGTCTGAGGAAAGGCTGGGTGGGTGCCTGACTGTCCGCAGCGTTCATGTCACGCAATGCCCGCCTTGTCCAATAAGCCCAACCCAGGAGAACACTGCTCCCTTTTAAAACTCTGGTCTAGATGGAAGCTTTTGTAAAGTTCACTTGGAAAATGACAGCATAATGGACACCCAAAAGAAAACAACTGCAGAAAATTCAGGCAGCAATAAAGTGTCATAAGCCCAAATTCTCCATCCTATGTATAGACACCATGTTCTGTTCTGTTCTGGTTCTAGTTCCTAGGGAGTGACTGCAACAACCGGCACTGACCGGGAGAGGGCAGCAGCGAGCCAGCCATCACCTGCACCCACAGGGCTCAGCAGCTATTACTGAGTGTGCACAGCACATCCCCAGGCCAAAGTCTTTCACCCCAGGGAGACTGGGGACCTGAAGGCTGCTCACACGCTGCCACCTCCCTCACACAGGTGTGCTCACACGCATGCTCACACACACGCACACCACCCAGACAAGAAAGGGTGGGCCCTTTCCTCTCCCACCCACCCCACCAGCTCCTCAGGTTAGAGGGAGAATCTCCCAGCACTGTTCGTCCATCAAGGCTTTCAGATAGTCCACAGACCAGGAAATGTGAAGCCACAGACCATTAAAGAGAATGGTCTCCCTCCCTCCTCCCTTCCCTTTCCCCTCCGTCGATCCCCCCTCCCTTCCGTCCTTCCTGATGGAGTCTAGCTCTGTTGCCCAGGCTGGAGTGCAGTGGCGGGATCTCGGCTCACTGTAACATCCACCTCCCGGGTTGGGTTCAAGCAATTCTCCTACCTCAGCCTCCCAAGCAGCTAGGATTACAGGCGCCTGCCACCACACCCAGCTAATTTTTGCATGTTTAGCAGAGATGGGGTTTCCCCACATTAGCCAGGCTGGTCTCGAATTCCTGACCTCGGACAATCCACTTCAGCCTCCCAAAGTGCTGGGATTACAGGCATGAGCCACTGCACCTGGCCTCTTGTTGCTTTTTTTTTTTTTTTTTTTTT